GACCACCTTTTTGGCGACGGTTGCGGGCATCCCTTCAAAGACTTTACTGTCTTTTAAGAAAACTGTGAAAAACCGATGAGCATTTTAAATGGTAGTATTCCCTCCATCAAATGCAATGCTGGTTTGGTGGGCGGAGGTTACAGCTCTCAGCAAGAATTTTGATGCATTTGGTACACACATGCGAATTTGCACACTGGACCCAGGAATTTTCAGAAGAAAGTATAAAAATTGGGGGAAAGTTAAATTGTGAACCAACAATAGAAGACGGTAAGCAACATATTTCGCAATATTAATGAGCAAAAACTGCCTTCTGGGATATTGATTTTCCATAGTAATCGGCCCCAAAACTTCCTGAACTCAGAAAAGCGACACTAAGATATCCGGTACCTAACATATATATTAAATAGCATGGTATCTTGGCAGTGAAATTGATGCTAGCTGCACTGCGTTGTCATGAATAAGTGGATGGAAGCGGATTCAGATTGAGCGAAGATGTAAGCGGAGCGTTTGTTCATAGGTGTTTTGGATAATCTCGCCATGTTTATTCTGCCTCGATTTTAAGAAATTCGGGGGTGAGCCCAGCAGCTGAGAGGCAGATGTCGACATTCCCTAAGAGCATCAGAAAGCCGTTGTGTCTCCTCTTTGCTACTGCTATTTGCGGCTGCCTGCAAATATGACAAAATGTAGAAAGCAAAATAGTTTTCGACGAGGTTCTTCCCTACCTGGCGGAGATATTCCAGTTCCTGCGACATCTTTTCATTAGCTGTTATAAGATCGTCCACTCGAACAGATCGTTCTCTTAACTGTAATGATGTTTGTTCGTAGGCGTATTACGCTACATGGCCTTCTGCTGCCTTTGACAGTTCATTTTTGTAGAATAATGAGCTCCTTCGGTTTCAAAAACGATTCCAATGCGGCAAGAAAAGATTCAAGGCTTGATACCAGGGAAACACTACCTTCATCTCCAGATCCGAACAACGTCGTAGATTTTCTTCAGCCGCTTCACGAGCTTGTTTTTCATTAGCTAAAGAAAGGCGCAGTTCGTCCAAATCTGCGTTGGCGCGAGATAGGCGCATTCTCAACTCCTCACTCAGAACCGATGAAAAAACATTTTCCTCTGTCAGCTTGCTGCTCACCTCCCGAAGTTTCTAAAATCGATGGCAGAATAAGGATATCGCCGAGATTACCACAAAACCCTTGAACAAACGCTCACCTTACATTCTTCCCTTAACTTATCCGCTTCATCCACTTTTTCATTGACAACGCAGTTCAGCTTAGCATCATTACACTGAATAAGATAGCATGCCTACTTTTAATTATATAGTACACATTTCAAAGGTGAGAAACGGAAGTGTACTACACCTTCAAATCTTCTATTTCACGCATGCAAGATGAAATACGAGACTTCAGCTCGGACTCATTCCTTCTCAGTTCATCCAAGTCCCGCTCACGCTCCTCTAGGGACCGCTCAAGCTTCTCATTTTGCAGCCTGAGCTGGCTGAAGCCAGCGTTTTCACCACGAAGAGTCTCAATTTCACCGTCCAATCGCTCACACTAAAATATTCGCTTCCCAGAAACATGACAAGAAAAAACCCAAACAGTTTTGTTCGCGACTAATTCTGCTTATACCTTTTCCTTTAACTCGGTAGCTTCCTCGGTCTTAGCCGTGACCTTTTTCATTAATTCTTCCTCCTCCTTCTGGAGTCCCAAATTTTCGCCTTCAAGGAAAGTGACTTTCTGGTTGCAGTTATCGAGTCGCTGAAAAACTACGAATAGCCTATGTTAAGGAGGAATGATAATTGATTCTCAGTAAAAAGATGAGCTCGATCTGAAGATAGGGTAATAAAAAAGAGAAGAGGAAAATATATAGTAAAAAGTATCACTTTGTTTACTCGCGAACTCTAATGTTCATACAGTGTTAAACCTCTGGGAAACAGCTTTTGAGGTGTGCAGATATAACAACATTTCACTTACTCCACGTAGCGTAGCAACTTCGTCCATTACACTATGAAGATTTTCCAGTTTGCAACGTAGTTCTTTGTTTTCCGCATCCAGAAATCTATTGTGCTCTTCCACTTCTTGCAGTAACTTGAAAATGTTTGTTTCTCCATAAAAAAGTGAACGTTTGAAAGAGTTATACCAAAGTTACCATTTGTACTTCTTTCAGTTCTTTCTTCTTCGTCAACACTACACTCCCACTGAGTACACGCATCCTGAATCATGGAGATAAAAACACCAATGCCACTGAAGTTATCGACTAGTACAAAATTTTGCAATTAACCACACTAGCCAACACCTTAGCCCTAAAAACCCTAATATGCCAAATAATGAAAAAAGAAACCTGAAAAGTTCTAGTCTTGAAAGTTGGGTCATTAACCTCTTATAGCATGTCATGACGTTGTTACAGTGAGGAAAGAAGGATTCTTCTACAGCTAGCAATACCCGTTCCAAAGTGTGAAATCATACATAAAGATATTACAAACCTGTTTCTCCGACACCAACTCTTCGGAAGCTTCAAACACCTCTTCTGAAGGATGCTCCGTAACGCTTTTCAACAAATCAGTTATTCGCAGTTCAAGCAGCTCAATCTTAGCGCACTTCTCCTGCAAGCCAAAATAAATAAAACAGAAAAATAACTTCTCACTGAGAGCAAATTTAATGACATTCAAAAATGCGCACCTTCAACTGATTCTGCAAGGCTTCAACAAGAGCATTACTTTCTTTCACCTAAACAGCAAACATCTGATAGTTCAATCGAACAAAATATCCCAATACGCCTTCGTTACCGAACTAACCTGTTTTTCTAAATTTGATTTTTCCTCATGCCAAACATGACTCTGATTGAGGATTTTTTCGTTCTCCTTTGTCAACTTGCGATTCTTTTCAGTAGTTTCTATGAGCTGCTTCACACTTGCAACTGCAAATATGGAGATCTGTTTGCCTTATACTTCATTCTTCTTATTCAGGAAAAGAATAAAAATTAAAGCTTAATACTTCTGTGGACATAAACAATGAACTAAGAAAGTCATTTGTATGAAAAATGTACAAGAACAACCAGTCTAACAAAGAACAATAAAAACCTAATGCTTCCTTCTCTTCAACG